CCAGAGAAGTGGGACAGAAGTTCTGATTAAGAACTTTGATTTCCCACAGATTGTTTGAGTCTTACATGAAATTTGGAAAGTTTCCCTGACATCAAAGGCTGTTTCTTTTGGCTAATCTATTGAGTATGTTGTACCTGTCCTCCCATGAGCCCCCCATGACTGGGAACATATGTCAGATTCTTCTTGTGCCAGTAATTTAGAGGCTCATGATAATAAAACATCCTTTTTCTAAGTAAAAAAAGAGAGGTCCTGGGGAATTTTCATGCAGCAGAAAATAGCAATGATTTACTCCTCCCTGAAAAAAATATACCAAGTCTGATAGACCCATATCAGAATATTATCTGCATAATTTGAAAATAACACATTGAAGGAAATAGGCCCAATCTCAGTATCCTGTTCACATTTACATCTGGAACAGCTGCCAGGGCCTCTCAGAGTAGATTTTGTTCAGTTGTGCAAGGCCGATCTGAAACCCAGGCAGAAAATGAAAGTGAGCAAATTTACCTCTGGCATTCAAAGAAATGCTTTTGGTCAAAGTGAGTATTTCTGACCATGACTCATTTTCAAAAGAAGCATTGAATTCGCTTTGTCATCTTTGCCTGGATCGGGCTCAATCAGCCCTTTTATGATTTTTAAAATATCCTATATAGCTGGGATGGCATTTATTAGGCTTCAGCTATTCAATATTGCATTTCAATGTATAAAAGTCACTGTTCAATTGAATATTGAGTTTTCTAAGGAAGTAAACCTACAGAAAAGAAATTTGCAAGAATCTAAAATAAATGAGTTTGAGAAAGATCAAACTGCCCTATAGCTGTTTCAAAGATCAAAAGATCTCTCTTTTATAGAAATCAGGAGCAGTTTGAATAGCCTCTTTCCTCTATCGCAAAGCCCCATTTTTTCACTATCATTGATAGCTTGGGACTGCACCATAATGGTATGAAAGGCCTTGGGGAGGAGGGAAGACGATTTCATTCCCAAAAAGGACGCAGGACTTTTTCGTCTGAAATAGCTGGCTTTTAATTTAATTTGATCTGGAGTCCAGTAGAGTGAGCAAATGAAAACCTGTTCTCAGCTCCTTCAGGAGGAGCGGTGGCCTTGAGGGGCATGAGAGGGTCTCCTGATAATTGTTTTTAAAGGCTGCCATGTATCTTTGTTTCTGCCTGTAGGAGAGGCTGGATTATATGGTAGATCACTATCTTTGAGTTCATGTGTTGTGCGTAACCTTAGGAAGTTACTTAATCTTTGTAGATCTCAGCTGCTTCATGTGTAAAATGGGATAATAATATGTACCTTATTCTTGAAGTAAGCTCCTTCCAATTCAGGGCCTTTGCTAGTGCTGTTCCTTCCACTGGGCTAATTCATGCTTGGCCCCAGAACCCAGCTGGAATAGCTTTCTTCTGGGAAGGCTTCCATGGACCCTCAGACCAAGTCATGCTAACTCCTCCTCCTCCTCCTCCATTAGACCTTGTGCTATGATTTTGCTTGTAGTACTTGCCTCAGTTATAATTGAAAACATTTTGTGTCAGTACTAATGTCATGTTTGGCTCCTTCTATAAGGGATTAGGAAACCTAACTTATTCATCTGTCTCATAAACTAGAACAAAAACAAAATATTTATTTAATGAATGAAATCAACAGAGACAAAGTCTACTAGCAAACGGTAGGCGATTAAGAAATGGCAATTTCCCTTGTTCCCCTACACTGTGAGATCCTGGAAGCCAGGACAAGCCTCACCTCTTTACCAGAAGCCCCTACGATGGGGTCTTGACAAAGTAGCTGATTCAGGAACATCTGTGGATGTGCAGGTGGACATTGTCAATCATCTCTCTCTACCTATTTGCCTTCTTCCTCAGCCTGTTCTCTGTCTTCTGTCTAAAAGTGCACTATCAATTTTCAGAGAGATGCTAGAACCCTTGTTCATTTTCTTATATGCCAAGTTTTCTCTGTATAGTTTCATGAAAGCTCCGTAGATGAAGTTTGCAGTAAGAGGTAAGAAACTGGGTCGTGATCATGGTGTTTCTAGCCCCATTTAGAGGGTTAGGTGGAGAGGGTGAGTTGAAGTTGTCAGCCCAGGGAACTTTACACGTGAGGACAGCTTTTAAACATCACCGCCAACATTATCATCATCAGCAACAACTAATAACAGCTTCTTTAAATTTAAAAAAACCTTTGCCTTCTTGTCTAGGAAGAAAAAATCTCCATCAACATCATAGACCACTCATGGTTGTCTACCACTAAAATCTTTTGCTGTGATTAAGGCCATTATTCATAATAAGTTCCTATATTAGTTATTGACTATTGTGAATTAGTTTCTCAATCATTTCATCTGAGAAGATGAAGGGCCAAGTATTAAGTCACTTGGTTGCCTATGTGGGAAGGAAGCATTTCTGTCAGAATTTAGTTGTACGTAACATAATTCAGTGTAGTCATTTTTAGCAGAAATGAGTTTCATACAAGGAATAAGAGCTTACAAAGATCACTAGAAAGGCTGGAGTTCTTGAGGCAGAACTTCCAGGAATCACACCTCAGAACAACGCCTCAGGACTGGCCCACGGAGGCAGCTGCTGCCTCTGCCATGATCAAGTTGGTGAATAAGGAGGTCGCCTCTACAACTGCTGGCTCTGCACCTCACCACGTCTATCCAACCTGCACTTGCCTCTCAATAGCCACAGTGATAGGGTCTGGATCCTGGGGGCTCTGTTATAGTTCCCACATATCTCCACACTGTGCTGGTCAGCAGAAGTAGTGGGCTGCAGTCTCAGCCTTGATGTCTGCTTCTATCATCCAGCTCTCATGAAGGAGTCTGTTTGGCTCATGCTGGGTTTCACATGGAACCTAAGCAGCAGGGGACTCTGGGAAATGAGGTTCTTAGCTTTTCTGACTCTTGAGGGCCATACAGTAGCTATGAGGAGGGATCTTACAATGGACCAGAGTGAATCAGTCTGCAGATTCTATTGCAGGGGTTACATAGGCGGGGTGAGGCGGGACATGGGGGCCAGAGGAACATTTTTGAGAGAGACATAAATGGAGAGGGGGCTGAAAAGAATCTTGACTGGCCTCACAGCTTTGCCTAGAGCTGGTCCTGATTATTAAAATGAGGCATTTTGGGAATGCCACAACAGGGAGACATTATTGTTTTCCTTGGGTAAGTGGTTTTGAGGTCTGTATGTAAAGTTTGTTGAGTAAATAGGCTCCTTCTTCTATGCTCCTGACATTTATGGTGGTGTGTTTTAGTTTCCTTCTGAGCAGAGACGCAAAAGTGTTCCTATACCCCGTTCAGACACTTCTACTACTGGGTAATCTTTCTTCATGCTAGTGTCCATCTTTAAAAACATCCCCATGACATTGAGTGAAAAGAGAAGCTTTAGATGCTATCCAGGAATGTCCAGTACTTTTATCTACTGGGTAAATTGCTATTTCCCTGATGAAGAGACCCAAATGAGGGCTGGAAGTCAGTTATTTTGGATGGATCATGGGATCCCCTCTGGGTTTTGGAAGCAGGCACTATCCTGCCATCTTCTTTTTAACATTCCATCTAGCAAACACCTTAAGCTTTAATAAACATCTTCTTTAATAGTGTTGACTCCAAGCTAATAAGGCAACTAGCAAATCCAGTGAAGGTAAATTTCTCATTAACAATTTATTTAACTTTGTTGAAGAGAGCAATTCCAACTTCTGCTAATTGAGTTTGTAATAAAAACATGGATCCATTTTACTGCCACCCTCAGGACCTTAATCAAACTCCAGGAAAGGTAAAGTCACTCTCATTAGCAGACTAAGAGGCAAAATCCAGGATGGAATGGAAAGACCAGAACACTGTTAAATTCCAGAAACTTCAACAGGATTATAAAGCAGAGGCACAGACTGGCATTTCACAGTGTTTTGAATTTCATTTGCCAGAGGAAGAGCCCTTTTGACATGAAGCTAAAGCTGTGTGTAAGACTTTGAAGATACTGGCTTTAGTATGTGGGTGATGTGTTCAGTTTCTCCCCCTTTATTTAAGATCTCTCTGTGGAATATGGAAAAGTGTGCTGGCTAGACCTGTAAGAGGACTTGCCCTTTTTTCAGTCAATCCAAAGCCTTTTTCTCTGGCTCCAGGAGGTGGCTGTAATTTAGGAGTTTTATAAGGAAGCACTGAGGAAGACCGCCTAAAGTGACGGCCCTGTGGGCAGAGGGACATGTGGCGTGTCTGTGATCAGCCAGCGATTGAATTTGAAGGGATTTAATAATTCTTCATGAAATTCTCTGCTTTTTCTTCAGACTTTCCTCTGGAAGCCTGATTAAATGCGTATTATTTCTTCTTAAGTGATTTTACAGGTCGTTTATTTTGGATTTATGAGCATCAACATGTTTTAAAAGGTATTAGCGAGCTGTACTGCTGGATACTTGTTCCGTAAATCAGTAACTCTACTCTCTATCAGCATCAGATAATAAGAAATCCTTCAAATTATTACTTTTTTTCTTCTTATATATTCATTCGGGCAACAAATATTTTAAAACACCTACTGGGTGCCAGACATTGTGCTAGGTTCTAGAAATACTCCAGTGAAAAGATAGACATGGCCTTTGCTCTCAGTACATTTTAAACAAAATGTTTAAGTTTGTTGTCTATATTATTGTGAAATTATGGGGAATGAATTTGAGTTAAAGTTCCATTCCCATTCAGCACTCTTCGTCTACTGAGTCAACATCTATATGGAGAGGCATGAGCAGAATATGGTTCCTCTATGTTTTTGACATATGCTGGTATGTGGCTCCGTTTAAGATATGAAGAAAAGATGAGTGGGGGGAAACTTCCCCTTCTCCCCTCATCACCTTCTCCCAAAGTACCTGTCCCATAGAATTTGAAATTGTTCAATTGGTCCAAGTTTTTGCCCCAAAAGAGAAAATGCCCCAAGTGCTAGCAGAAGTCCTGAAACAGCCTATTTTTGGGGGGAGACATCTCAGTTCCTACATCTGCATATACAACTTTCTCTTTGTCTGTGTCCCATTCACAGGGCTGAAGTACAAGGTGCTGGGACCAGTTGTCGGCAAAGGGAGTGTGATTCACTGAGTTAATTACATCAGGATGGAGAAGAGAAGCAAAAAGCCCAAGCCAGGTAACTGGAACTACCTATGAAACTGGAGGGGTGTGGTGAACAAAAGCAAAAGGATTAGTCATAAGGTCAGGAGCAAGGTGAGTCAAGGGAAGTGGTTCAGAAAGTAGACTGTGAGGAATGTCAGGAGGTGGGGAGTGGGGTGCCTGTGTTTTATCTCAAGCCCTGCTTCTCAGTGTAATGGGTAGGGAGGGGACTGTCAGCTGAACAGCTCTTATTAGGCCACATACATGGAGCCCACCAGAAGCGGTTGGCTGTGCAGCAGCTGGAAGTCTCCCCTAGGACAACTTGTTCACTTCACCCACAGCATTGGGAAACCTGGATGAAGAAGAAGGTGGGAGAAGACAAGGAGGCCACCATTTTCTCTGCAGGAAATAGTGGTTAACTCCAAGCAGAGGAGAATTCAGCAGTGTACATGAAGCTTGAGACTTTACAAAATACTTTCCCATCCTTTTCTTTTGTCCTTCTCAGTGACCCCAGGATGAAGAAAGGTAGCTAGATGGAGGATGGTTCTCCCCATTCCACAGATGATGAACTTGAAACCAGCAAGAGTGAGTGAGTTTAAGGTCATATAACTATGTAGGGTCAGGGCTCGAGTGTAAATCTCCTCATTCTAGCTGTAACTCTTTCCATTACAATTTGCTAGTATTCAAATGATATGTAAAAAATAAGCAAATAATGAAACACAGCATTTTGCAAGACATAAGGGTAAGATTGTAACCACATCTCTGTGATTCTCCTGGAGACTTTGGCATTTGCCCTTGGCTACCTCCTGTCTCACTCTTTTGGCCCTGATTGGGCACTGGTAAAAAGGTGTCTGTGAGTATCTACCACACCTGCCTCCCCCAATACACAGACTGGCATTCTTTCTATGGCCACAGTCCTAAGGGTAATTAAGATTGTGGAGTAACAGGAAATATTTTATTCAGTAAGATTATACTCATTTGCTTATTCAGTTGCTGAACTATCTTCCAGGAATACATCAGAAGGTTTTACCATTCTATTTGCCTGCCTTAGTTGGGAGATCTGAAGGAAATGAGTTTAATTCACCCTTCACATTTCTAATTAAAACTTTTTACATTTCAAGCTTTTTGACAGGAAAATAAAAAGAAAAATTGTGTGGAAGGCAGCTTCAAGAACACATAATCCATGTGTGATTGTTTGAGAGCAAGAAGGGTTAAAAAAGGCAACAACAAAAAACCTGCTCATTTTTGCTGCTTGCTCAAGAAAAAAACAACTCAAGCCATCTCCAAATGTAGTTTAATCCATTTTCAGACTCTATACATTATGCATCAAGATTTTGTACAAAAGGAATTTGAGAGGAGCGTTTGCATGAAACCACTTCAGTGGATTAAATTTGCAGTTCAGCACATTAGACTCAAAAAGTATACAAGACATTTTGAGAGTCCTGTCTCCTTCCTTTATATGCATAGTTCCTACTTCAGGTAAATAAGTTTTTAAGAATGAGTGGATTCCAGCAGCTGTCTTTAAGGAAAAAATTAAGAAAGGCTTTGGTCTACCTTCCACTTAGCTTCCCAATGACTGCAAATGTTTGAAGAACAGAAAGCCTAGTTGAGAAGGTGGATCTAAGCTGTTCTGTGGATCTCGAAATTCTTTTAGGCAAAGCCGCCCTATCCAAGGTGGAAAAGCTAATGTGAAAAGACATTCTCAATAGAAGGAGTTCACACAGCGACGTCATAACTGCAAACCCCACACACCTTCAGTTCAGAGTTGAGATGCCACTTGCGTAGACCACCTGGATGGGAAGCTCAGTCAGTCATCCAGATGTCTTCATCTAGTGGAGGCCAAATATCACTGAGACCACATCTGGATGTTTAGTGGGCCAATGACATTTTTATTTCCTGCTGTTTAAATAATGGATTTGGGAGATCTTGGGAACATAGTCTCTATTTCCTCTTACCCCAGAGTTGCTCTGCTGCAGGAGCACACTTTATGGCAATCGGGTCAAATCAGGAGCAGCCAGAGAGCCACTGGTTTCTGGGCTGTTAATGATGGGAGGTCCTAAACTGACAAGCGGAGTCTGACGTCTAAACGTCATGACTGTTATAAACCAGGAGGTGTCCAAACAGCCTATGGAGCACCTGAAAGTTTCTATAATAACTTGTATTTTTTTTTTTCAAGTGTTGAAAAGTTCCTAGCAGTGTGGCTGGTTGCCTGGGTTACAGTGTTGTGTTGACAGCTCTGGTCCTTTTCCTGGCAGCTGAGGATCTGCACAGTGACCAATGAGAGGGGAGCATTCTGCTCTGAACTTTCCATTAGGCTGATGATTCACTTTGAAATCCACACTTTATGAATGCTGTGAATTCAATGTAATGTAGCTGTTGAGGTGTCTACATTCGAATAGGATTCCATTAACTTTATGGTGTGATTAAGTGTCTGAATCATCAGGACTTGGGATTGAATTTATGTGCTTCTGAGAGCCCTTTTGTAGACTGGCAGTTTTGATGAGTGTAATTTGATGTGTGGGATTGGGAGAACAAACCTAGTTGATACCTAAAGAGATATCACCTCAAATATAACAAGGATCTGAGAAGCCAAATTTGAGCATTGAGGTGGGTGGTCACTCTCAGATGTGCATAGAGGAGCTACTCTTCAGCATGCATATTTTTTTCTTTAAAGAACTTGATTTTTGGTGTTAGGAGGGACTTAAAGGTCTGCCGTTATATTGGCTTTCAAATTTTAAAGTACTTAACTATTAATTAGGGTGCTTCTTAAAAAAATGCCAGTTTCCAGATCCTGCCTTCTGATTCTGAGGGGCTGGAATGGGATGTAGGAATGGAATTATAGACCTCCCTGGGAGGAATGCTGACTTAGTTGTTTTGCATTTGGAGGGGTGACAGGCCTCATCCATGGCCTTCCTCACAGCTAGTGGTAAGAGAGTCAAGCGCAGAACTGGATCTCTACATGTTTCCTCAAGGGTCGTTCATCATGTACTTAGTTCATGCTCATGCGAACTGACATTTATGACATGGAAATTATTGGTAGTATGAAAGTCACATGTGCCATATTAGAAAGGAAAAGAACATGGAGTGGCAGAGAGAGTGGCATGTTGCAGTTTAGCAAAAATCAGTTCTGAAATCTCATTTGAAAATTTAAAGTTCTCCCTAACACATAGGGGTTAAATGGGAGATGCACAATGCTTCACATATTTGAGTCAATTTTAGGCAGTTGCTAAGATAGCAGTGTACAAAATATTTTTACTTTTGCATTTCCCTTTATAGATTTCTTTGGACTTAAATACACTGAAATTTTAATTTAAATTCTCCATGTATTTAAATTCCAGAATTGATGAAATTAAACACTTTTTCATTGTTGCTAACAATTTGTATTTATTCTTTAATTCTTTGTGAATCATTTTTCAGATCCTTTGTGAACTTCTCTACTGAGTTGCTGGCTTTTTTTGGTATTGTTTTTAAAGAGCTGTTTTTTTTTTTAAAGTTATTAACTCCATATCTGTCATACAATTTCCTGAAAGTGTTTTTCTGTTTTTTTGTTTATTTATGGTTAATTTTCTTTTATATGGGGCAGTTTAAACTTTTTCTACAGAAACATTAAACTCATTGCTTTTTTTTTGTTCTTTGTGATGATGTTTCATCAGTTTTATTTGTTAAAGCTCTCCCTATCACAAGATCAGGAAAATCATTACTTATACTTTCTTATAGCTATTTTGTAGTTCTAACATTTGGATTTGCTGCTTTCACTTGTTGGTATGCTTTGTAAAATGTAACATACAAAATATAAATATATAACATATAAACATTATTCCTCAAATAGTTGTCCTAGTATCATTTCCTGTATATTACTTTCTAATTGGTTTGTAAAATACATGGTAACTACCATTTATTATATACTTAGGTACAGTGCTAAATATATTTAATGATTATTCATTTTAATGCATATATATTTTATTTGGTTCTTACAACAACATTCTAGGAGTTATTTTTAATTCCCGTTTACAGATGAGCAAACAGAGGCTTAGATAGCTCAAGTTGCTTGTCTATTAAGAGGCAGAGCGGAGAGGCAACCTGAAGATAGAGTGACTCCAAAGTCCACAGACTCAGTCACCCAAATCAGTTTTACCACAAAACACATTCTTAGTATAGGTCATTTTAGGGTTTTGTATTCTGTTTCATTAACTAGGTTTCTATTTTTTTGCACTAATATCATACTTTTAAGTGTTTTAGCTTTATAATGGTTTTAAAACTGAAAGCTGTCACACTTTATTACTCTTCAGCTTTTCAAATATTGAACTCTCACTGGTTCAATATTCATGTTCACCTCAGACTAACATCAGCAAATACAAAAATGCTTCCTGAGATTTTCAGTGGAGTTACTTTTAAAACTTGACATCTTTCCTATATTTAAACTTTGCATCTAGCAAAATGTCCTTTAGAAGAGTTTTATAATTTTCTTCAAACAGGTCCTTTACATCTTACTGCCACTTTAAGTATTCTGTATGTTTGTCACTCTTGTAAGAGATTTTTTTCCATTATATTTTCTAACCATTGTTAATTTATAATCTTTTTTTTTTTTTTTTTTTTTTGAGATGGAGTCTCACTTTGTCACCCAGGCTGGAGTGCAGTGGCACGATCTCGGCTCACTGCAACCTCCACCCACTGGGATCAAGCAATTCTCCTGCCTCAGCCTCCTGGGTAGCTGGAATTACAGGTGTGCACACCATGCCCAGTTAATTTTTATATTTTGGGTAGAGATGGGGTTTTGCCACGTTGGCCAGGCTGGTCGCGAACTCCTGACCTCAAGTGATCCTCCCATCTTGGCCTCCCAAAGTGTTGGGATTACAGGCGTGAGCCACCAACCGAGCCCGGCCAGATAATCTATGTTTTAATATTTATTTTCTCATTTGGCTTCTTACTGAAATTTTTAGAATGATTTTCTCATGGGTTTTCGTTGTAGATAGTCTTACAGTCTACAAACAATAATGATTTTGGTTTTGTGTTAATTACACTTTTAAGTCCTACACGCTGTCTTATGGCAGTGGTAGAAAAATCAAAATACTATTGGTGAAAACAGCCAACCAACCAGCGTATCAGTCTGCCTTCTGCACTTTCTTTCACAAGAGATTTACAAAGTACCTATCCTGCACCAGAAACCATGCTCGACCTTGGAGATAGAGCACCAAACGAGATAGAAACAGTTTCTGTCCTTCCAGAGCTACAGCCTAAGCTGGAGACAGACATTAAACATGGAATGATACAATTACTTCAAATCACAACCCTTATCTCATTCCTGATTTTAATGGGAATGCATCTGGTGTTTCAATTTTTAGTCAATTTGAGATATTCTTTAAGATGTGTTCTTCTAAGACTAGTTTTCTAGTTCTTTTTTTTTTTTTTTTTAAACTAAAGTCAGTATGTCTCTTGACTTTTAGGAAAAGATTTCTCAGTGTTGCCTCCTTTCACCTGTTTTCAACTTCATGCATTTTATAAACAATAAACCTGAAGCTTAGTTGGGGCGATGTGACAGGCCCACCATTATGAAATTGATTTCGACTGAATCCTTGCTGGAATCCATCTTTAGAATTTATCTCAGTACTGCAAAGGCAATGTGTCTATTTACTAGATGTCATGAGCCTGTCAATGTGTTTAACTTAGATTGGAAGCTTTTCCAGAACAAAACTGTTTCTGGGATGCTCTTTGGGCTTCCCTGGGTCAAAACAGTGCCTGCTGCATTCTAATGATTGTTACTTTTAATCTCCAAGCTTCCAGTGGATTGATCTGGAGGCTGGTAAATGACACTGAAGGCTGGGATGCAGCATACGCCTGTCAGAAGCAGTGGTTAATTTTTCTTATTCATAAAAAGTCAATATAGAATGCATGAAAAACACAAAAAGATTTTTAAAAAATCACCTGTAGTTTCACCACTAACAGATAACCCTCCAATTTGTTTGAATTCTTTTTCTTTGCCTATCAATGTTCCCCCACAAACACAAGTCATACTAAATGATAGATTTCACCCTTTTATCATTTGATAGTATATTATAAACAATTTCCCAAATCTGTAATTGTCTTATTATTTTGTTTGTTTTATTTCCTCCATTTAGTGCTGTGCAGTGCCCTGGTGATTCATCTGTCTATTCATTTTGAAATAGTTCTAACAAATAAAGAAGCCTATGAGGACACCTTGAATAAAGACACTTAACTAAATCTGAAATAGCCACACTTGGTTGAATGAGTGATGACCATGTCATCAAAATTTCAGCAGAAAGGAAATGGCAATAATAATTCAATATGAGGCCAGCACCCTAAGAACTGAATAGACTTGGTTTCAAAAATTTCTAGCTATTTTTCACAGACATGTTAGAATGCAGTAGGTTTTTCTATGACAATTATTTTTAAACCACACCCACACATAGAGATAATAATTAGCACCAGTAGCATAATCTTTGAAAAAGAAGAAAATTTCTATCTATTTGTTTATCTATCTACCTATCTATTATCTATATCTAAATTTGGAAATGAAGAATGAAGAGAATGTTAGGTCATTTCAAGATATGAAATATTATAAAGGGAAGATCACTTTGTGGAGTAGAAATGGCAATTACCTGCCCAATAGCTGTTCTTTTTTTCTCTCTCTCTAACAGAATCCCAGTTTTGTTCAAGTATTGGCTGACTCTGTTTTTCAGGGCCATCCTCTAGTCCTGGTTAGCAAATGTTAACCCACCTAAATCTATCATGAGAATTCTACTTCGCTTATCAATATCTGGTTTAGGGTTCACCATGTGACACAATTCTGGCCAAAGGGACACAGAAAATTCTCTTGGCAGGCTTTGGGAAGTTTTTCTTGTTCTTAAGAAGAGATATAAAAGAAGAAAAAAGTTTCTTAAAAAGAATTTTTTTTTTGAGTATTTAGTCCTTTTGAGAGGATATTGCTGCCATTTTTGGACTATAAAGGAACAATACTGGGGACAAAAGCCAAGGTGCTGGTGAGGGCACCACAGATAGAGAAATGATCTGGGTCCTCCATGACGTCATGAAGGGTCTCTACATATTTTTTTTGTTATTTTTTGAGTCATTTTAGGTTTAGAATTTTGCTTACTTGCAGCCAAGAATATGCCAGCTGATTCAGGTGGTACCCATCACAAGTGGACAACTACTAACTGAGCATGTTTGCAGGAGGGAAAAACAAAGTTCTGTTTCTCTTTCCAACTCTGTATATGATCTGACTGTGCCTTTTATTTTAACCTATGGAACTGTCTACTATCCAAGCCAGATTAATACTTCAGAAATACATACTAGTGTTGAGAACTGGATATAGTTAATATCCGTAGCAGTCAACACATCAATATTGGCTCTGCTGAGGGACTTAGCTGGGTTCTTGGAGTAGGTATTTAGTAAATAATTTTTAGTGAATTAAAGACTATATCAGCTGAAAAAATGACCTTGGCCTAAGGGAAAAATTACTAGCAAATTAATAATTTAGGGCCTTGTTTTTTACATTTCTTGTTGGAGAAATCCCAAGCCAATCATAGACATTTTAAAAATTACTAGCCTCACTTGAAGGAGAAAGTAGTTAAGGTGTGGACCCTGGTAGAAAATTCCTAAGTGTGCAATTCATCATACTTGTGAAGCTCAGTCAACTATTTCATAGAATGCCAGTTTAGGAGGGACTGTGGGCTTATATAAACTAAGAAGTAATTACCTTATATAATAAAACTATAAGCAGGTCCCTAGTTAATGAATTTGCTAGTTTTTTTTCCAGTTTATAGACATTGACCCATATGAGACATATTATGTATGCATAACATAGAAAGACATATCGATTGAGTTAATTAGAACAGGCTAAATTGTTGTAAAGAATAGACCCAAGAATGAAGTGGCTCTAAGATGTGGAAGTTTATATTTATTGCTTGTCAGACAGTCTGGATGTGTGCTTCAGGTTGGTGAGTTTCTCCTGTCATGTGTTTATTCAGGAACTGAGGCTGGTAAGTGCACTGTTACCTTCAAATTCTCATTGTCCTCACTGCTATGCAGCCAGCAGAAGATGAGAGAAGAGAACATGCAGGAGGTGTTGCCTGGTCTTGAGCAAAGCCCTTAACATAGCCAATTTCACTTCTGCCCACATTCCACTGGGTAGAACTTCATCACATGGCCATACCTAACTGCAAAGGGATCTGGGAAATGGAGTCCAGCCACATGGTTAGGGAGAAAGGGAAAATGGATTTTGGTGGGCAGATTCTGACACATATGTAGGGTAATAGAAAGAGCACTGGGCTGGAAAATATCCTAATTGGGGTGACCCCATCCTCCCAGGTCTCTTCTTCATTCTCCCTACTGCAGCTAGAGTAATCCTTGCATAGTGCAAAATGCCTGTCCTTCACCAACCACCTCCAAGTTCTGCTTAAAATCTTTTAGTAACTTCTGATTGTATTTAGGACAAAGACAAAACTCTTTACTCTGACTTACAAGGTTCTGCATTATCTAATCTCCACTTACCTATTCATCCTCAACTTTGAAAATGCTCTTACTTAGAGACTTCAGCCACACAGGCCTCCTTTCACACGCTCTGCCTTCCAT